ACATATGATAACAAACCATACACATGTTACATACTGTAGGAAAATATTAGCAATATACACAATAGACAAAGGGTTAATGTCCAGAAATATAAGTGACTCCTACAATTCAATATGATAAAGACGAGCAAGCCTGTAAGAAAAACTGCAGAGGTTACAGACAGTTCACAGAAGATGGGCCAATGAACATCATATGACAAGATGTTCAACGTCAGTAGTGACTGAAGAAGACAAATTTAAAAAAAAACACGAGTTACCATTTTTTCATCTATCAGATTGGCAAACAATTTAAAGGTCAGATTCTTAGGAAATGTGAAGATGCACTGCTGATGGGAGTGAACGTTGGCATAGTGCTTTTGAAATTCAGTTTGGCAGAATGTACTGAAAATTGAAAATATCCATACCCATTTCTGAGTGTCCACCTAGAGAAACAGAGAGGCCCCTGTGGGTGTGTGCCAGTCAGGGTGCTTATAAGAGGCAGCTGATTGATGTTTCCTTTTCCCTGTCTCTAAAAATAAATAAATAAAACCTTTAAGAAAGATTTTTCTGTCTTGCTTTTCTACAAACTCAATTATTTGGTCATCAAAGTTTATGTTTTTAGCAAGTTCATTTTCAATCAATATAATTGAAAGCAACATCAGTCACACTATGGCAGATAATATTTGATAACTTTTCACTTTAAGAAGGAGCTTTCTGCTAAAGCAGCTATTACTGGCTGTGACATTAGGATAGATTCCTGATAAGTTATTTCAAAATATAAATTTTAATATATCTAGAGCTGCTGATTCTTGTGGAACAATCTTTCTAAAAAGATTCAACTCAAATCAGTTTTGCATAAATCTAGTTTTTTAAAAAATATTTTATTTGTTTATTTTTAGAGAGACGCCAAGGGAGGGAGAGAGGGAAAGAAACATCGATGCTTGAATGTCACATCAATCAGTTGCTTCTGACATGCCCCCAACTGAGGACCTGGCCTACAACCCAGGAATGCACCCTGACTGGGATTCGAACTGACAGCCTTTCAGTTTGCAGGCCAGTGCTCAGTCCACTGAGCCACACCAGCTAGGGCTGTGTACATCTAGTTTTAAATATAAATTTATCTAATGATATTTAATGTTTCCTCTGACATTTCCTATAACTTCTGGAGGTCTGCTATAGACTGAATGCTTTTGTACTCCCCCTCATCCCCAACTCATATGTTGATGGTTATTGGAAGTGGGGCCTCAAGGAGACAATTAGGTTTTGAGGGTGGAGATTAGTGGCCTTATGAAAGTGAGTCTGAAGAGCTCCTCCACCCCTTCCATCACACAGCAAGAAGATGGCCATTGCTGACCAGAAAGTGGGCTCTCACCAGAAACTGAAGCTGTCAGCACCTTGATCTTGGATTTCTTGGCTTCCAGAAGTGGGAAAAATAATTTTTTCTTTATTAGCCACCAATCTATGGCATTTTTGTTATAGCAGATTGGACAGACTAAGACAAGGTCATAAAAGAAATTTTTAAATGGCTTCATGATTTATTTATAATTCAAAATACCTGTTTATTTATTCTACCACTGTATCTTCAACTACAAGGAAAACACTTTTGAATTGTCTTCTTCATTAATAATCAGTTCATCTGACACTTTCATCTAATGTATCTAACGTGACAATCTTTAAATTTAATTTCCATTTCTAAACCTCTGGATATTTGCTTTGCAATGTCGCACCAGTTTTCAAAACTGGAGATTCTAAGCTCTTCAAAAAGTGCTAATAGCCCCTTCATATACTTTACTGCGGTGTCCATGGGTACGCTTTTATTTTGTCATTTACTGGCAAAGCTTGCTGCCTGAGCACAAGTCACTGTCCTAGTGCTCAGACCAGAGCTACTATTTGTACAGATGCTGCTGGATCAGGCTCTGAGAGCAGAAAGGTAAGATTGCTTCTCACCATGGGTCCTGTCACTGCCACCACCGCTGCTGCAGCTACTGCTGCCACCACTGTCACTGGCCTAATGTCTCTCCCCATGGCCCCCCAGAATACCCCAGGTGCTCTTGTACATGCCAGGGGGCCTGACCAGCTGCTCAGCGTGCATGCTGCTTGCTGTGCCCGTGATCTCTGCGCACTGCTACCCTGTGTATATCTTCCGCTCATGTGTACACTCCATTGCCACATAGGGCTGCACTTCCAAGACACAAATTTGAAAATAAAATTATTAAGAACGTCAAGACAGCGACCACAGAGCATTAAATCAAGTCCGAAGCCCCTCCTGGGAGCAGAGCTCTGCCCAGGTGGCACACCCCTAAAGCTGGCCCTGGAGGAGTGGATTGGTGTTCTTAGCTACCTAGCTGGGCCCTTGGGGGATTATCCTGCTACTTTATATTTCAAGTGAGTGTAAACCCTATTTTGCTACTGTGATCCAAATCATGCCAGGAATCATTGATCACCTTGCCCCTTACATGGATCTTAGGAGACACAAGTTGCTATAAATCTACACCAGTGATATAATGGAATGCTGACCTCTATTTCCAGGGACCCCAGCTTGGATACATAGTGGCCTCAGCAAGAGATACAAAGTCTATATTCAGCTTCCCTATCCATAAAATGGGGCTAGTGCTAGTACCTATCTCATAGGGTTTCTGTAAGGATTGAATGAGTTAATTAATCCATGTAAAGAGTTTAGAACTCTGCTTTTGCACACAGTAATTCTCAGATAATTATTTGTCATTATTTTGTCTTCTGTTTTTCCTGTCCTTGTACTTTCAGTTCTGTTTTGGAGAAAATCTGTTCCTCCTCATGTAATTTTTTCCCACCCCCTCTTTTTCCTCACGTATTTTATAGTCCACCTTAGCCCTCATCATTTTTACATCTCAACAAATATATGTACATATGGGGGGGGGCAAAAAAAACTCAAGAGTTATCTTCTGGATGGTGGGCCCCTTATAGTACAGGCTTCCCCTGCTAGGTGAGTGTGTTAGGAACCCATCTGTATCTGTCCACCAGCTGGCGTTGAGAGGCTTCAGTGAATTTTTTTGGAAGACTCAATGCGTTTGCCCATTTCATGATGGGTGATTTATGAGTGCACCTGCCCACACCACACTGAGTGTACAGCAGTTTTTGACCAAAAATGGCGTGACCCCCGTGCCCCACCCTCCCTATTCACCAGATTTCACCTCTGAATGACTTTTTCTTTGTTTCCCCCGATGAAAAAAGTACTCAAAGGGAAACGTTTGGTCGCTGTGGAAGTGGTAAAACAAACAAACAAACAAACATACAAACAAACAAACCTGGCAGAAGCACTAAAAGGCATCAAAATAAATGAGTTTGAAAACTGTTTTGAGCAGTGGGAAAAACACCTTGATTAGGTATATAGCATCAAATGGAGAGTACTTTGAAAATGACTGAATTTTAAACATGTAAGAATAAATAGACAAATTTTTATAAATAAATTCTAGGGTTCTTTTTGTTTTTTGTTTTTTTTTGGAGGATATTCTCCCTCATATATAGGAAAGAAAGCAGAAACTGAATGGTGGTCAGCAGGGATCTTCAGCCTCTTTGAATGTTTACAATGGTATTGCATATACTATTGCCTATGTAATTAAAAATAAATGTTTACAACTGTTAGTGGACATGGGGGTAAGGGAGGAAGGTTTCCAGCCAGCCTCATACTATGGAAGCCAGTTCAGATCATCCACTGATGCTGTGAGAGATGCACTGGAGCACCCATTTCCAAGGTAGCTGCCAGCTGCCTCCCATCCATGGCAATAGCAAGATTTCCTTTGTCAACAAATTAACTGCCTCAGATTTAGTCCGCTGACAACTTTGCCTTCCCCATTACCCTTCAGTGCTCCCACTTCACCTCCCAAGAATGCTGGGGAAGAACTTCTAGGGGAAGAACTTCTAGTGTACCTGGATCAGAGGCCACCTCCTCTGAACTCTTCCCTGACACACCCGCTGAAAATATTTGAATGAATTGTGGCCCCCTTCGTTCTCATATGTGTTGCTCAAACCTCTAGGTAGCCCTTAAGAGTTTAACCTTTTTCAGCCTTGTTATTGTTCATTGAACCTTGCCTCCCCCATTAGATTGTGTATATACTTTTGGATATACACGTGGTCTCTTATTTATGTCTGGAGAACCCACCCCAACCCCCACCTGTACTCCACTGAGTCCATCATAAATGCTCAGAAGTTGTTCCTGGGAGGGTGTTTGGAACTGGCCCTCCCACCACAATAGGTCTTTTGCACTTTTTATTCCTTCTGCCCTGTCCCTGGCCAATTCTTGTTATTCTGATCTCAGCTCACATGTCACCCTCAAGAGACCTTCCTTAACTACCCTATCTAAACTAGACTACCTTACATCCAAATCTTTACCTCATACCTTGTTTTATTTTCCTTATAGCATTCACTGCAATCTGAAATTCTCTTATTTGGCTCACTTTATTGTCTGTCCCCCTCACTGGAATGTGAATCACAGGAGGGACCTTTTCTGTTTTGTTTACCCTTGAATTCCTGGTGCCCAGAACAGTGCCTGGTGTATAGTAGGTGCTCAATAAATATATGAATGAAACTGTATTTGATTAATTATTGGCTAATCTCCAGTAGAATGTCAGCTCCATGAAGGCGGGGACCTTACCTGTGTTACTCCTACATCCTCAGCATCTAGTGCCATGGCTGGTGCACAGGAGATGCTCAACAAAGAATTGTTGGGTGACTTACTGTTCCACACACATATTAACTCCACATACTCCAAACTAAACTTAATTTCTTCCCTACCAATCCTGCTTTTTCTCTGTGTACCCCAGCTCAGTCATTGACACCATCATTTACTCTGACACCCAAACCAGAAATGAACACACACTTTTTTCACTCATTCACCCACTATTTTCAGTCCCCAATCCTTGCTTGTTCAACCTCAAAAATACCCCACTTACCGGATCATTTTCTACCCCTGCTGCAATTATCTTGACTGAGGTCTCATCTTTTTTCATGACTCATGTAACAGTCTCTTGACTTAGGCCTCTTTTTTTTTTTTTTTTGAAAACTTCATGAATTTGCTTATCATCCTTGTGTAGGAGCCATGCTAATTTTTTTCTGTGCCTATCCAATTTTAATACATGTGCAGCTGAAGTGGGCACCCTCCTGCATCCTTGTGAAACTAAGAAAGCTTAATAAGCTACAGGGTCTGTCACTTGCCATATGGTCACATGTTCATGTGCTTCATAAAGTTTGTAAAATACATTTAGACCACAATTGGTTAAAACTGCTGTCCCTGTCCACTGAGAGTTCCCCTCATCATATTTTCCCTTCTATTAGGTGGTGTTGGAGCTGCCTCAGACATTTTTGAGATTCAGCTAAGTAGAAGTTTATTTGGAGCACACATTTAGTTTGGATTTAGCGAGACATTTATTAATAGGACAAAAGCCACTTTCTCAGGCTGTCTTTCCCAGAGCTAGCAGGACCCCATAAAGCATGACTGACCCTAATGGTTTTATGAGCCTTTATCCTCAGGACTAGAACATTACTGGAAGCGCCCTGAAGGCACAGAGGTTCCTGGAACTTGCAAAACAGGACATACCAGACCACAGCGACCAGTGGACCCTGCACCCAAAGATAACATCGAAACAAACAAGTTGCAGCCTACCTGAAACATCCTGCTCTACAACCACTGCACTACCTGATAAAAACTCGAAGCTCTAACCCCTCAGTGCTGGTGCTGGTGCTCGTGCTGGTGCTAGTGCTGGTGCACATCTCCGCACCTATTCCTTTCCCTCCCTTGGGAAAGTAAAAATAAAAACTTTACTCTTTGCAGTTTATTCTCTCTGTGAATTCTTTCACAGCCTCTGTCACTGACCACCCTAACATTTTGGTGGACCATACAGGGACATTCTCTATTTCTCCCTCTCCTCCATCCTCCTGAGACTTGCGACTAGGGGAGCAGTGGGCAGCGGAAGCTCGACCCGGGCTAACCCCCTAACCCTGTCTCTGTGAGGTTTGGAGAGAGGATTCTAATCCTTCTCTGTCTTTCCGGACTCGGCGGACAGCCTCCTCCTCACCCACCTCCATGGCCAGCAACCGGTAAGTCTCTCTGAATCTCAGGACAAAAACATCCTATTCAAGGTGATAGCTTATCCCCTTGTCTAGTCGTAAACCCTGGTACTAGGTCTATCACATTCGCAGGGTTTGGGCTGGAAGGGATGCCTACAACCCTCTCCTTACCAGTTCGGTATACTCTCAGGGCCCAGGGACATCTGGCTCTGAGGCAGAACCTTGTGTTCCGTCTGCCTTCAGGCTCCAGGACGCTTGGCTCTGGCCACAGACCTCTAGGTCGTTTGAGTTGGGTACGCCTTTCTCAAATCTTTCCCCCACCCTCAGTTGTTCTCATCCCTGCGATATCCTTCCCTTTAAACTTGAAAGCTCTGGGGCTTACCGACCTCAAGGCCAAGTGCTTGACTTTCTAATGCAACAAAATCTGACCTCAGTACAAACTGGGCGACTAGGTCTGACCCATGAACAAATGAATCTCTTAACTATAATACTGTCCTCCAACTTGACCTGTACTGTTGCCATCTTGATCCCCTCCTTAGGTTTAGTTCTCAAGAGCAGACAAGATTTTAACCTTCAGCAGAGATTCCTGAGATTCCAGGCCTCTTTCTTCTAACTATGCCTCTTGTTCAAATTTGCCTCATTCTAACACTGCCCCCCACCAAGACTGTAAAACACTGAATTCTCCCTCTGGAGACCTGGGAGCTGTTCAATCCTGTGAACAATTGGGCCTGCCTCTCAATGCAGACCAAAAAAAAAGTGGCATTCTAAACTCAAGCCACTTTTCTGCCCCTTCACCTGGCTCTTTAACACTCACCCCCTCCATCTCTTCTCCCTACTTCTCCTCCTTGGACCTCCCCTCTCCCCCCTTCAGATTGGGTTTCTCCTGGCCACACCCATTCCTGCCATCTCTCCCAGAAACCTCCCAAGAGAAAACTACTCTGAAAACTGACTGAATGTTCGCTAACTGTCTTTCTTCATTATTAACTTTCATAAAAGCCTCAGGGACAGCTTAACAGAGTACTCGCTCTACTTGGCATGGCCCAAAACAGCCCAGATACTTACAGGGATGCCTCTAACTCTTGACTTGCTACATATCTGTCTCTCTGAATGAGTTAAATCCATTCCCAGGGTATCTGGCTGGTGCTTTCATCACTGGTTAAGTTCACCCTCAGGCACAGGGTAAACACATCCATCCATTTGTATTTCTCTGCTGGTATGGACTCTAACTTCTAGTTCTCCATCTGCAGCATATATCTCCTGTTACCAGATTTCTGACCTTCCAGGGGGCCAAAGCAGCCCTGCCCAGGCTCTTCCCTGCTACTCAATTCTTTGGAGCTGAGACATTATTTGACTACTTTTTAACAGTCCTTAAAGTTTTTATTGAGTCTCAACAGGTCTTCTTTCTTGTCATTTAGGACTTTCCACTCCCTTTTCCAGTCTTTTTAAAAGTTGTCAAAAGCAAATGAGAAAAATCTTGTGTTTTCTCTACAAAAATTAGTAATTCAAATTATGTGTATGGTCCTTATGTGTTCAGTTTTCATGTGTGTGGCCTTTACATGATATGTTTGTCTATGTATTACATGTGGTGTTTTCTGCCTCCAGATGGCATAACTAGGGTGAAATATTTTATTAGCCTAAAGATATTAAATACTGATGGAAATTAAGCAGGATCCTGTGGTTTGGACAATTTTTAATATCAAAATTGGTTTTAGGTTTGATTAATGTCTTTTAGGGTTTTTACCAAAAAATATTTGTTTTACAAGGTTATGTTATAATGTTTTAGTTAAGCTTGTTTGACAACTTTCTTAAAGTTTGAATTTTAAAAGATCCTTTATCCAAGAAATTACTTGCATTATTCCAATGGGCCCTGGAATGCCTCAAGAATTTATTCTATCTCTTTATAAAAGATTTTTGAACTAATTAGGCCTATTTAATATGCTCAAAATTACATGGGAAGCTTTGCCAAACAGAATAATAATAACTATAGTCTATTTGTATACATATATTTTTATCAAAATAGATTTTCTAGAAATTTCAACCTGCCCCAGGGAGGAACTTGCAAAGATTCAGAGCAAGTTCAAAAAGAAAATTTTCAAGGGTAACAGGTGTCCTGTCAGTGACGCTGGACAAGCCAAAAGTGATGGTTCCCTGTGGGGACATCAAGCAGTGGTACTCTGGGTATTTGTAACCCAAATACTGGGAATTTATGAATTGTTTCCAATGCTCAATACACACTTCGGATAAGTCCTGTAGTGTTTTAAAATCTTGCACAGTTTGGTCTTTATATATTTTGAAATTTTGTGTTCAATCCAAAAATATAGGACTTATATTGTTCTTTTATGTAATTTCATAATAATTATTATTTACCAATAAATTGTTATCTTCAAATGTTGTATCTTACAAAAAAGCAAAGTTCTTTATAAGCTGCATTATAATCAAATCTATAACCGCGTCATTTTTATTTTGTCATCCATAACAGTCATTGTTTTACTCTAATACATTTGCAAATGTATCTTTGGAAAGGTTCATGAAAAGAACTCTGACTTACTTTAAATTACAGGTATCTATGCAGGTCACACCTTTAAAGTAAATGAAGATTTATGAAACCCTAAGGAATAGCTGGATTCATGGAAATACAGGCAAATAATCAAGACAAACAAATCAATTCAAAATATTGCTAATTTTAAATCTTTGTTTTCCAGATATAAGGAAACTTTTTTTTTCCTCTAGAGTAATTTGTAAAGCATACCCTCATAAGCAATATTGGAACATGTATATTTTTCTCCCTATCTAAACCCTCCAGAATTCAGCAACTCTTAATGAGTATTATTTTCATGGCAATATGTTTGTTTGCATAAACCCAGTAAGAACCTGTTCTCTTTATAATTGCACCAGTTCCCAAATATGGTCTTATTAACCAAGTCTTTGCATGGAATGTCATGACTGAAAGAGTTGTGCCCGGACTCTGGATGTCACCAGAAAGCCTCAAGGAATTAAGATTGACTTTTGAAGCCAACAAGAGCCCCTTGGAGAAGTGGCCTGGTATCTTCCTTGGTCACGTGGTTCCTGGCAGTCTTTCCAGGTAAGGAACAAAGGTTGCTTTCCTGAAAGATGGCAAGGAAGGAACCTCAAGACATTTTGGGAATCTCAAGAACTTGAGGAATCCATCCAAACTTATAGGTATTCAGGCAAAACCCGATGACCACTCTGCGGCTTGCCTTCTTTGCCCTAAGAGTCTGACTAAAGCTCAATCTGAAGGTTCTTTGTAAAATTCAAGTAAAGCCAATTTAAAAGAGCCTACATGATCAATTGCTATTCTTGTTGTGTTGATGCAAATAATCAGGCCAAATTGAAACTGGACTTAATGCAGTTTCTTTGATAAAATGAGGGTAATTTTAGGGAGAAAAATTGTGTTTCAATGGAAATCACAATGTCCAATTGTCACCCATAAACTGAATTAAATCTTAATTTTCTAGTTTTCTTCCAAGCTAATGTTTAGTTTTTTCTTTCATCCCTCGACTTGAACTTATTGAGAGCTACTGATGCAGTGCCAGCCATACAGAATTTACCTACTACCCCCACCCCTTTCCCTTTTGGGGACTTTAAGGCCAACACTTAGTCCTGGTTTTTCCCGACTGACTCCTTTTCTAGGTCCTATCGCAGCTCTTCTCTTTGTTGTTGCTTTCAGGCCATGTCTCCTAAGATACCTTATGCCTTTCATCCAACAAAGCATTCAAGCTCTAGGAGACCCTTTCCCAAAGGACCCCCAGCTACAGGTCTTGCCTTTCAGGCTGTCTAGCTCCACCCTCTCCCTCTTAACAACCCATACCCAGAGCCACAGGCAGGGACAACTCTACGTCCATAATCTGTAGGAAGTAATTCCCGAAGAAGAGAACTTCGTCCCTACTCCCCAGAACCAAAACGGGTCCAGGTCATTAAGAATAAATTCATCTCAAAAACCAGAGAGGGGAATAATAGGACAAAAGCCACTTTCTCAGGCCCTCTTTCCCAGAGCTGGCTGGACCCATAAAGCATGACTGACCCTAATTGTTTTATGAGCCTTTATCCTCAGAACTAGAAAATTACTGGA